CCTAATAAACTTTCCTTTTACAACAATCAATTTAATATTAATTTTTAAAAGTATAATCTATACAAAATTTATGGCGGAACATGAAGAATGGTGCTACAAATTGAATTAGTAAAATAAAAGCAATTGAATTCAAAAAATGATTTATGAAAATGAATATATAATTTTATTGATGAATATTGAACAATCTTTTTGACTTTTTTGAGTAGTAACTTTGACTTAAATAAAAATTTGAATAGTTTACTATTCTTGAAAAGAAGATAATACAACATCGGTTCAATATCATTTTGATCCTCGGCCCTTTTCCTCATCCAGGTCAATCATAGGTCTATTTTCAAAATAATAGTAATATTATTTTATTAGAAATGTATGGTTAAAAATATGATATAAAAAAATATATTTTGGATAAAATTAAGTCCAAACACAGGCTTATTTTTTAATAATATATTTTCAAAAAAAATAAAATTTAAAAAATTTATTATTAAAAAATTGGTTCACTCCCGCAAAAGCAGAAAACAAAATGGGACAAATCAATTATGCGCCTCTGCCAATGAAATTGAACCGCGATGATATCATAGGTTCCTGAATTGTAACTTTCCCGATTCAAACCCTAACCCTAATCCTACGCGCCTAAAATGGATCCTCCGACCAAGATCGAAGACCCTCGAGCTGACGCCAATGGCGACAACAACCACGTTTCCAAGAAGCCGAAGCTTTCCTTCATATCTGAACCCGAAATTCGGCAAGAGTTTGCCCATCACAAGCCTGGCATCGCCCGTATAAATAACGGCAGCTTTGGAAGCTGCCCAGCCTCCATCATCGCTTCCCAGAAGCGATGGCAGCTCCGCTTTCTCCAGCAGCCTGACGACTTCTTTTTCAATCATCTGCAGCGGCAAATCCTCCATTCCCGCACCATTATCAAGGACCTCATCAATGCCGACCATGTGGACGAGGTGTCTATTGTCGACAATGCCACAACTGCCGCAGCCATTGTCCTTCAGAACGTTGGCTGGGCCTTTGCTGACGGCCGCTTCCAAAAGGGTGATGCTGTTGTCATGCTCCACTGTGCCTTCCAGGCCGTCAAGAAGTCTATTGAGGCTTATGTTACTCGGGCAGGGGGGTCTGTCATCGTGGTTCACTTGCCGTTTCCTGTGAATTCCAATGAAGAAATCATTGCTGAGTTTCGGAAAGGGTTGGCCAGAGGTAAGGCCAATGGTAAAAAAGTTAGGCTAGCCATAATTGATCATATAACATCCATGCCCTGTGTTGTGATTCCTGCTCGTGAGTTGGTTAAGATTTGTAGAGAAGAAGGCGTGGAGCGTGTGTTTGTAGATGCGGCTCATGCTATTGGTAGTATTCATGTAGATGTTAAGGAAATTGGAGCAGACTTTTATGTGAGTAATTTGCATAAATGGTTTTTTTGTCCACCTTCTGTGGCTTTTTTGTACTGTCGTAAATCACCTTTATCACCTGACTTGCACCATCCTGTGGTTTCACATGAATATGGGAATGGACTGGCCATAGAGAGTGCGTGGATTGGAACTCGTGACTATAGCTCTCAGCTGGTTGTTCCTGATGTTGTAGAATTCATTAATAGGTTTGAAGGGGGTCTTGAGGGAATTCAGAAGAGGAACCATGATGCAGTTGTGGAAATGGGAACAATGTTGGCTAAGGCTTGGGGAACAAATCTTGGTTCCCCTCCAGAGATGTGTCCGAGCATGGTGATGATTGGTTTACCTTCGAGATTGGAAGTCTTGAGTGACGATGATGCATTGAAGTTGAGAACACATTTGCGAGATCATTTTGGGTTGGAAGTCCCCATACATTTCCAGATGACAAGAGATGGAGAGATCAGAGCTGCTGATGGGGATGGCTGTATAACAGGTTATGTTCGGATTTCTCATCAAGTGTACAATACACTTGATGATTATGTCAGGCTAAGAGATGCAATTAATCAACTTCTCAGTGATGGAGCGGTGTGCAAGATGCTTTGAAGAGAGTGAAGAGGTACATATCCGTATCATGAACATGTAAAATTTCTCTGGATTTTGAGTATGTATTTGCTAGTTCATTTATAATTACGGCTGTCCTCTTGATTAGTTTTTTGACATTTGAACACAATCTGACATTTCTTTTTAGAATATGTATATCATATTTCATAGAACTATCTAAGACAATTTAGTCATTTATGAAGTAAAAGTTCTTTATATATGATGCTTCATAGTACCCCCCAACCACAACAAAGAACAAGGCTTTCTGCTGTTGTTGGATTATGAAGTGGAAGCTCAATATTTTTTCAACTAGTTAATTTGCAAACCGTGTGCATATGCAAGGTTTGGTGAAAGTCATGTAAATGGTTATAGTCTTATTGTAGCGACCCGGCACCCATGTCTAATCTATTAACCTACGTATTGTCTGCTCTAGGAGAACCTAGTCCATCTTAACCCTCATGGATTTTTGTCGCTTCCCTAGGATTTGAACCCCTGATCTCTCTCTTGAGAGATACTTAAGTTGAATCTTGGTAAGTTTCTTTCGAATTTTGGAAAACGTATAGAAAACCATGAGGGGAAAGAAGGTAGATGCCTTCATAAAGTGGACTATACACGTAGGAGAATAGCAGGGTACGAGGTCTGGGCCGTTACAAAAATGCACATTTTTTTGTAGCGAATTAACCTCTGTGCCCAAGCTGTCAACTTACGTACTGTTCGCTTTAGAAGAGCCTAGTCTATCTTACCCTTGATGAATTTTTGTCGCGTTCATAGGATTCAGACCTGTGATCTTTCCCTTAAGAGATATTTAAGATGAATCTTGGTATTAATTGTACAAGTAAAATTTATAGAAAATAGAACTTATTGATTGATTGAATCTCGTAACAGCATGATGTTCTAAAGTGAAATTTCTTGCTGTTAATTGTTACGATCTGTTTTGTTAATCATTCTCAGGATACAATGATCAAATCTCTAGTACAACATCACAAATGATTTCGGAACTCTCAAATGTAATCCAGAAAATAGATAAAAATATAAAATTCGAGTATGAAGAATTACTGTTATGAAAATGATAATTTTTTGATATATTTTGCTAGGGCACACATATGTTTATATAGCCATAAAGTGATAATTGTTTCCACCATAAGTTAGAGAATAGTTTCAATTTTTATGGGTTATTAATATTATCTAGTAACAGCCCAAGATCATTAAATTTATCGGCTAGTTTGACCAGTAAATAAATTCAAAATTGATTAAAATTCAATTTTTTCAAAACTCATTTTCAACCAATAATTCTTTAATAATATATATTATACGTCAACTTAAAACTTTTCCTTAATTTTTAACTACACATTATCTATCAATTATTATTTAAAAATGCATTTTTCCTTAAAATGGGACTCAAACGAGGCCTAAATAAAAAATATTATTTTAATCAAAGATGTCCAACAACCCACAGCCCCAAGGCCCAATCATAGACCTTTTAGCAATTGCGTGAAATATAAATCAAATCGTCAACCTTTGACACAAATTTATAACTTCTCACCAAATTTGGGCACTTTATCTAATTTAATTATTTCTTTCAAATAATATATTTATCATATATAAATATGTGACAATCCTTTACATGAAAGAAATATGATAAATATAAATATTATTGTGGAGTACGATAGAAATCATGTGGTCTTAGGTGTCTGTTGACTTGAAGCTTGGCTTTATATATTCTTTCGAGTTTGCTAACTGTAGAGTGTCATATGTCTTGAACTCTACAATTATGGTTACAAACTTAAACAATAGTACACACACGACTTCTAAAATAATCATCGAGTTCTCGCAGTTGTGTTTATTTTGGTTGTGAACTTTCCCAGTTTTTTTAAGTAATCTAGAGAATTAGCTTCAATTCTCATAGGAAACAGCCTCACTTTCACACTCAAATAAGAGCTTCTATAAAGGTTGCACTATATATAAATACCTCATTAAGCGACAAGTATAATAAGCATTAAGAGTATTAGCTCATCCTCTAATCAATGCAGTTAATACTATACATCTTAGGGAAGGGTTTGGAATAAATCGAATGTAGTTTTCTCACATACCACTCTAATAACTTTGTTATCTCATTGAACCTTGTCCGTGGGATCTTCAGTCACAAGGTTGGGTTTCCATTATAAGTATCTTGTTTGAATAGGTTTTAGTCCCATCCCTTCGATGTTTTCTGATTTAGCTCTCTAACTAATCCATTGGTTGATGTGTAGTACCAATTGTAGTGATTAGAGAATGAGTTATTAATATTCTTAATGCTTACGATAGTTGTTACTCAGTGCGGTGTTTGGATACAGTGTACTCTTAATAAAAGCACCTATTTGAATATGGAAATGAGGCCTCTTCTTATGAGACTTTAGGCTAATTTCCTATATCACTCAAAAAATTAGGGAAATTTATGGTTGAAATGAACTTAACTGCGAGAACTCGATGATTATTTTAGAAGTAACGTGCGTGTTTAATTGTCTTAGTTTGCAACTATAATTGTAGAGTTTAAGATATAGGTCACTTTATAGTTAACAAACTTGATAGAATATACAAAACCAAAATTTAATTCGATGGACACCTAAGTCTGTATGATTTCTACTATACTCTAAAATAATATTTATATTTATGATATTTCTTTCGTCTGGGGGATTGTTAGATATTTATATATTTTTTGAAAGAAATAACTTGATTAGATAAAGTGCCCAATTGGTGAAAGTTTGAAATTTTTGTGGGAGGTCAGTGATTCGATTCACATTCCATGTAATTATTAAAAGGTGCCTGGGCTCTTAGGCTTCTTTGATTAAGATAATATTTTTTATTTATTTTAGTCATTTTTGGATTTATTTATTGGGTCAAACTAGCCAGTATATAAAATGATTATTGTGCTGATACCGGATG